CATATATATATATATATACACACACATATATATATATATATATATATATAAACACACATATATATATATATATAAACACACATATATATATATATATAAACACACATATATATATATATATATATATATATACACACACATATATATATATATATATATATATATATACACACACATATATATATATATATATATACACACACATATATATATATATATATATATATACACACACATATATATATATATATATATACACACACATATATATATATATATATATATATACACACACATATATATATATATATATATATACACATATATATATATATACATATATATATGTATATATATGTGTATATATACACGTATATATATATATGTATATATATATATTTATACATTTCAAAGCCTTGGTGTTTACAGATTCACTTTCTTAGAAGTCCCAAGCTAATAGGTGGTTAAATAAGAGGGAGGCAGCCGAGGTTCACTCTCAGCTAAGAAGCTTGGCCTAACAGACCCAGTGAACAGAGACTCTCCCAGAACCTTCTAGTGAATTTGCAGTTGAAGGATTACAGGCCTTAATGTGATGCTGATGGAGGAGCAGTTAGGTTTAAAGAGATATACCGCAGTAGAACAAGTCTGTATCTCACGAAAAGGAACTTAATAACTTACATTTTTTTTAATTGTGTTTATCAGTTTTTATTGCAAAATAGATCAGATAAATGGGGTAATGGATAGCTTACCAAGTGCTGAGAACTCAAAGTGATTAAAGTGAGACCTCTAAGGAAGTGAAATAGGTAAAATTGTTTAACATAAACAAAACTATTAAAGGAAAGATAGCAAAAACTCAGTCAGTTAAGAGTGTAAATGTTTTGAAAATGGCTCACAAAAATCTGGAGATACAAAGACTCATCTCATCTGATTCATCTAAGCCCAGCTTGCAGAATAAATTCAAGAAAAATATATTGATATGACAAAATTAGAGCTGTGAAAACAGCAGCAAGAACTCCGGAAAAAGACAACTAAATTATAGATTTACAGGACTTACTGTATACTGTAGATGGACAGACAATGGTCAGAATTAAATTGAGACTCGAAGTCATCATAAAGACATAAAATGATCAAAAACAAAACAGCACAACTGAAGCAAAAACAGCTAAGAGACAGCAAACAAATCCAAAATGAGAGTCCAGATAGCCACAGCGTTTGGTAAACGCTTTTACAAAATAGACAAAAGAGCTGTCCAAAAAAATTGTGATGACAAAAAATTGGTGCAAACTAAAAATTTGTTAAGCTTGTTCTTTGGTTGGTGTAACTGCAGTGTGTGTGAAGAGGGGGTGGATTCATAATTTGACATTGCATTCAGGGTTTTAAATGTTCAGTCAAATGGATAACTACTCCTTACTGTACCTATAAGGCTCTCACTATAAAATATAAAGCACCAAAGCATAATCTGGCATTCATTTTATATGATCTAGGCACACTGTAAAAATTAAACCAGGATAACTGAAGCAATTACAAATGTACATATTTTGCATCAATCAACCAGTAAAATTAATGTAACCTTCATTTCTAGGAACATACCCTCTGGATACAAAAATCAACGATTTTTGTTTTATTAAGATTCTTAAGATGATTTCCTGCAGCCTTTACTGCTTGTAAGGATTGATTCCAAGCAACAAACATGTGTTGCCTAAGTCCAGTCTGCAGCCTGGCATTCCTTGGGGCCCGTTTGCCCACAGATAATTGTTGCTGCCTCATGGGAGAGGAGAAAGTGCCAAAGAGAACAAACAAAAACAAATTAGGAGATGCAATTGGCTGCATGAGAGAAAGCGCTCAATCTATGGTTTCAATAGGCTTGCATAACAATAGCTGGCAGTAGTCCAAACCTTGTTTGGGAAAAAGGGGGGCTGGGTCAATTTATAATACATGAAGTATCCCTAAAAGATACCAATGGTGTATAATTAAAAGTTTTATTTTTGTTTAAAACATGGGTAAATAAAAAGCAGTGAATAAATAACCACATCCAGAAGCCACCGGTAAGAAGGGAATACAATGAACCCATTCATAATGATAACTTAGGCGCGTCATGCTCCTACTATAAGAAATATTTTCATTAAAATCATCTGATGTCTTGTCATTAAATTACATTCTGAAGATAGCTTTATGTTTGAAGACAATGGAGCCTGTTTATGTCATATTCAAATAAAAAAAAAACAGACTCAACTTTGATTTCCAAGTTTGTGTGTTTATGTTTTTTTGTTATTTTGTGAAATAATTGGATGGGGCTCCTCTCATCCTTTGAAGCTACAATTTTTATTTTTATTTTTTTGCTAGTTGCTTTAAACCATTAGAAAGTTTTTTCCTAATAGGAGTTTTTGACTAGTTTTAGATTGATCTAAACACTGTATAAAAAACAACACATTTTTAGTTAAAAAAGGCCAAGTAGCCAGGACACATGATTAGTTGGTGGCAGAGTGTGGGGTACTATCACCATCCAGGGTATTCCTTTGGCTGACTGGGAAGCATGCATGACTCTCACCCTGGAGGTTGTGGGTACCTCACCACAACCTGCTGTTGCTGGCAGGACCATGTGCAATACTAGTAAACAGTCCATGGGTTCAATAGTGAATAGTTGTGGCTACGAGGGTGATGCATAATTCCATGCTTGTGGAAAAAGGGGGAGAGATATGAAAGTCTGGTCCTGTCACTAGGCCTTCAACTGATTGTGCTTCTTGACTACTTGGCCACTGGGACATGACTTTCACTTGCAATGTGATTGGGATCAAATCCTGCCTGGACCCTCTGCTGAATACCTTGCCATATCATACCTCCTTTCATGTGGCCTTGTTATGATAAATATTCATAAAGCATTATGTCTACTAACAAACAGATAAAAACAAGGGGTAAACACAGAAATAATAATTTCAATACACAAACACACACACACACATATATATATATATATATATACACATTTATTGGAGGAATTTTGGCCACAATGCCAAGAAGCATGTCTGCAGGACTCAAGGTGTTGGTTTCAAGCCTAAGGATACCATATCAATGATCAAGCATGGTGGTGGCACCATCATGACCTTGGATACACTTAAGACAAGCTTTAAAAGCATTCTAAACAGTTTCATCTCTAAATTATGAAATTAACTCATTTCTAAAATAAACACACATGCACCAGTTATTAAAATTAAGCTCAAAATCAACAGCAAACACATGTTTTGGGTTTTTTTTTATATGGAGGTCTATGGAGGTACTCTGTGGCTGGACATGTATATCAATCCACCAGATTTGATAAGGAATAATCCCAGGTGATCTTCTGTTGCACTTTGCAAAACAACAACATTTGAACTGACTGGCTCATATAGATTTTTGTATCAAAATTTTAAGCAGAGTGAGGTGAATACCATGAAAGTAAATTGTGAAAACATTTTCTTAAAATGGAAAACTGAGCTCTAACTGCCTCACCTGCGCTCGAAAACAGCGTCCTGTCATCCTATTCCTGATGCCCGGAGCAAAGCAGGTTCAAACAACAGCCATCAGTCATAAAGCAGGATAAAGGGATTTGTATGATGACAATGACTTCTCAGGGGACCTGATGCCATTTCTCAGGCCTCTCACCTCCTCGCACATCTCCTGAAGCACCAGGCCTAAAGAACATTGATGTGGTTTTTACTCCCGCTCAGGCAGACAGCTTGAACAGGTTTCCCTTTCCTTTAATCTCATTAAGATGGGTGGATTGTTAAAGCTCAAGTACATGAAAGGACTAAAAACGTCTGGAGGCAGGAAATCTGTGGTTGGAGAACAAATAAACCTCTTAAAACAGACAGGAATAGCACAAGGTGGAACACAAAGTGACTTCTGTAATCCGGACGAACAGAGTCTCACAATCCTGTTTTCATCACCCAAGTTTATACTAAAACTGAAAACAGTAAAAGAAATTATATTTATAGTATTTTCAAAATGTGTTGATAACAGTTTGACTTGATAAAACAATAATGGCTAAAACGTAAAAGAAAAAGTGTAAGAACTACTGCAAAATAAGACTATATATGAAAAAGAGGCCAGGTCTATATGCACACACATGAAAGGCACTTCATACACTATTACATCAAGATGTTTAGAACAGGATTTTCTGAAGTTCAAATTGAGCATCATTAATTGCATAAATACCTGTAAGTGAATTTTAACATTGTATGGTTTTGTATTCAGAGCATTATAGAAATTGTTGACCAGCAGGGCTTTTCACACACAACTATCTTTAGGATAAACAGAGAATAGTGTGGGAAAGAAAAATATCCAGTGCAGTGCAGCTGTCAAATATTGATTATAGTGGACAACTGAGAATAGACAGGGTAAATTTAGGGTATGCAAAATATTGGCTCTGAATGCACATCATGTTGTACTTTGACGAACATGGGCTACGGGGAAAAACCAAGGCAAGTGCTAAGATAACACACTAAGGCTACAGATCTCATGCCCCCCCCCCCCCCCCCCCCCCCCCCCCAAAAAAAAAATATTGATAATGATATTATGGTCTGGAAAACAGTTAGCAGCTCAGCTAAATCTCTACTTCAGCTGTAACCTTCAGTTGGTTGTGATAAAGGGTTTTTCTAAAGCAACATGAATCCATCCTGCCTATAATAACAATATATTTACACACCTAAACAGTTCCAAAGACATGTGTTTTGCTTGGACCATACGACCAGGAAGGAGTTTTTTTGTTGTTGTACTTTTTATTTCATATAAATGTATTTATCATTTCTAGAAATATGTAATTCCTTTCATACAAACAGAAATTTATATTCCTGTTAAACAAACGTCACTAAATAAATTGCAACGCTTAACATTGCAAATGTTGATAATAAAACGTAATGTTAATGTAATCCTTCATTCATTTTTCATTTATAAAAACCGTACTTTGTTTTACTTTGAAATTTACGGACGTGATCTCTTACGTACTTCCGTTTCCCTACGTACTTCTTTCAGTGAGCGTCGCCGCCATAATATGAGTGGCCCAGTTGTTGAAAGCGCCAAGCGGAGCAGTTAGCCCTATTTTATATTCCATTTTTTTACTTATTTGATGAAAATGCCTCACTCGTGTTCTGCAATTAATTGTCAAAAACGTTTTACGGTCGAGACCAGAGCGGCGGGGATTACCTTTCACAGGTGAGGCTGAATAATTGTCGTGTTTTGATTGTTTGGATGGGTTGACGTCATGAACAAAACGGTCAACTTCCGCACTCAAATTCCAAAAATGTCTTTACATATTTTGACTTTATTGGAAAAAATGAAGCATTTTTATCAAATTGTACCAAAACTTTTTTTTTTTTTTTTCTTTTTTTGTGTATATATATTAGTTTTGACCAGATAGCCAAACTCAAAGGTCTTCAACAGGGGGTCCGCGACCCCTAGGGTCGCTAAAGGTTTGGTTGATTTAGACTTAAAAAAAAATGTTATACTACCCCCTGCATTTTTTTCTGCTAATTGAAATGTCTTTAAATACACATTAACATGAATTCAACACACTGTAGTAAACAGATAAATGGAGGCAGAAGATGTCTTTCAGTCATCAATGCACACATTCAGCGAAACACAGGAGCTCTTTCAAGCTGGGCACCGTTTCATTTACAACACCTGTCCCATCAGTGAAGAATTAGAATCAGAAATACTTTAATAATGCCAGGGTGAAATTACTTTAGTTACATGACAGTGAGTGACCCTAGAACCAGCTTGACATAACACAATTTCATACAATATGTATAATTAGGGGGTCCTGGCTCTGATCTAGCCACCAGTTTGGGGTTATCAGCCTGGGAAACGTTGAAGACCCCTGGCCTAACTAATCACTTGTCATGGACTACATGACATTTGATTTAGCATCCCTCTAGATTATAAAAGGGGCTTTTCTGCCCATTTCTAGCTATTCTGGACCATCTTCATTTTGCTCAGGCTTGAATTATAAGAGAATGAAATTGGCCCAAAGCTTGAACTTTATCATTGTATAATCAATAATATTCTGTAATTATCATAATCTTAATTAGAAGTTTAAAAAGGAAAGAAAATATACAATAAATATAAATCTAGAGTTTAAGACATTCTATTATAGACCAATGAGAGAACAAAAAACTGTATGTGATTTAAGAACTAAGTGATTAAAGAACCTTACAAATCAAGAGTTTTTTTTAATCTAAAAACACATTATATAAGGGTACAACTTGAAAAACAACAGCTTAGCTAATTAATAAAAAAAAGAAATAAGCTAATTTTTGATTTGTGTAGCTCCCAGTAAGTTTGTTTAGAATCAAACATCTTCCATTTTTCAGGTATGTCTAGAAGTCTTCACCGCCTTATTTGAGATCTGGCTTTAAATGGGGTACACCTGGATAGTTTTAGTACATTAATGGTGGGTTATTTAAAAAACAGCCTGTAGTAAATGTGTGAAAACTCAAATAAGGCTGTTTTTATGGCTTTACAAGAAATCAATAATCCAACTCTCCATCATCTGGCCTATTTGTTAGGGCATTGAGTTTGGAATCCTGAGGTTTTGAGTTCGAGTCCCACTCCCACAGCCTCCACTGGGGTTCCCTGAACAAAGACTCTTAACCCCACACTGCTCCCTGGGTGCTGCACAATGGCAGTCCATTGCTCCCCAGGGGGATGGGTTAAATGCAAAGAGTGAAGTTCATTGCTCTGTCCCTGTGACAGTGTAATTTGAACTGTTCCGCCTAGTCAACTCTAACACAGCTGCTCTTTACCAATGACAGATTCCATAAAAGAGATTTTTAGCTATCTTGTTGATTTTTTTCACTCCTATACTTGCTAGGTTTCCCAAAGAAAGCAGCATGAAGAAACAATGGATAAGAGCTGTCAGGAGGAAAGACTTCACTCCCAGCAACGCTTCCAGAATCTGCAGTGAGCATTTTAAACCAGAGGACTTCGACAGAACAGGCCAGACGGTTAGACTCAGAGAAGGAGTTGTTCCCTCAGTCTTTAGTTTTCCTACTCGTCGCAAAAAGGTAGGCGTAACACTAGGTATTAAGGATTTAAGCTTTATTTACATTTAATGACATAGTAACCTGAATATTTTGTGTTTCAAATTAGCCTCCAGCAACTAACACAACCAAGACTTCTCCCAAGAAACAAGACAGCAAAGTAGTGAATATTTCCCCACCTGCTCAAGAACCTGAACCTCTGCCCAGTCCCGATTTGGTGAGTTCTGAGTATTTTTTACATCACACTTGGCCATGGGGTTATTTTGACAACCATCTACACGTATGTCCACACAGGACATTTAACTTGCCGTTTGTGATTGTATCTCCAAAATAATGCTCCAGTGACTAACTTTGGTCTTAGTGTTTATATGACTGATCCCTTTTGTCTTAACAGGACCACTCTTATGCACTGCCTCCATCTCCGGGTGATCTGAAGGCAAAACTTAATGAGGCATTGGAAAGGGTTGAGAGTCTGGAAAGAGAGATGAGAAATGCCAAGGATCGGGAAAGGAGAGCAAAAACTGCATTACAAGTTCTTCTCATGGATCTGAGAGGGAAGAACATTATTGATGAAGATTTAAAACAAAGACATGGTTTATAAAAAGATAAAATCAAAAATAAAGACTTGGCGAACGATTTTAGTGGGTGCAATGCACCTTTATTTTTTTTATGAATTTATAGTTATTTTTTAAGAGGACTCTGTATCCAGCTTAAGCTCTGGATGCTGATGATTCTGGACCATCTTCCCTGCCAGCGATGCATCTTCTGTCACAGTAGTCAGGACTGCTTGGAGCTCTATTGCAGTTCTATAAAAGCAGGTATTAATAAATGTATTCTTTTATGCATAGTTGTCTGTCTTTTTAATTGTGGCAGATTTTACAATAGGTAGTTGCTGTCATTGGTGCTGCTACTTTGATAACGGTTATAAAACCTCTTTAAAAATATCTGTCTGTTATTAGGGGGTTGGTGTATCAGTGTGCCCAGGTTGGTCTCTCCAAGCACATCTGGAAGACCTGGCAGACCACAATGAAACCATCTACCTTTCTCTCATTGAGATTTCGTCTCCAGGGGCCTGTTTCAGAAAGGAGGTTAAGTGAAAACTCTGAGTTTGTTAACCCTGAAATGAGGGAAACTCTAGGTTTTCTGTTTCAGAAAGGGAGGTAAGTTAAACCTGAGAAAGAGTAAGTCAAGCCCGTTTCTGAAAGAGTTTATTTTGGTCTCCTCCCCTTTTTTAAAGAGGAAGAGGTGTTTAAACACCTCATTGATTCTTTGGGGACATATTCATTGCACACATTTCAGTCACGTAGAGCTCATCAAAGGGAATGAAATGGCATGTCCTTTTATGGATGATCCTGTTTGTGAAGCCAGGTAGCTACTCTACTCCCATGATGTGCTCAAGGCTTACCTGCTTGAAGTATGTTTTTATATTTCATTTTCAGCTGCTGCCATGTTCTTTTGATGCCTGCAGGATTGCACCTATCCATGAAAACTAAATTAGGTCTAATAAAATACTGTTCTTCCAGTTTCACCTCTGATATTATAACAGTTGGGTAAGTTACTCTAAAATAGTTCTTAATTACTAACTACAAATTTTTTCTTCAACAAGTCTAATTAGATTAATGTAATAATTACTGTCTCTAGAAAGTATTGGTCTACTTACTAATTTGTTTTACTTACTTATTAATTACTTTCTAAATCCCAAATCAACCTCAACCACTTGAACAATACAAGGAGAGACAAGAAACTGCACTTCTAATGCTTTCAAATAAACAATATTCAATTGCATGAATTAATCTTAAATTGACCAAAGTGTGTAAATAGAGGGAGAAAGTTCAAATCAAAATATACCTTTTAAAATTTGATATTAAATCCACTATTGTTTTATAGTCTTTAATTTAATTACAGTATTTATGACTTAAGTAACTTAATTCATTACACCCAACACTGTATAAAAGTAATTAAAATGTAAACTTACACATTGACTCGAGCAGCTATTTTCACCCAAGCTAACTCTCTCTCCTTCGCCGCTGCAGCCGTGTTGCTTTTTTTTTTAAATACATGTTCAAATTCTGCATATGCTTGCATAAGCACATCCAGTTCTGCTGGTGAGAAATATGCACACCTTTTTTTGTCTGATGCTGTTGCCATGGTGACTCGTAATATCTGTGCTCCATTGATAATGGCTTTTTATAGTTGTGGTGCACGCGCTTAACTCAGAGTCAGTCAATTTAGAGTTGATTGAACTAACTCATTTCAGCTGTTCTGAAACCCAAAACTCAGTTTCCAATCTCAGGATAAGTCAACTCAGAGTTCAAGTTTTAACTCAGAGTTGGTTGAACTTCCTTATTGAAACAGGCCCCTGGTCCATCAGCAGAACAACTGTTGGATTTGTTTGCACTTAAGATTTTTTTATATTTGTTTGTTTCAATCAAATTAGGTTCATATCAATGAGGAAATCTAAAGTATTCACTGGGACTGAAATCCACAGGTGTGTGTGTGTATAATATCAATTTCTTGTTGTGTTTTTTTTTTTTTTTTTTTTTTATATATAATGCCTTTGGCTAAAATTTTGCCAAACTAAACGTCCCTCAAATATTGGGTGAGAAAAGGCTTAAGTATTTCTGTTCCAAGGATTTTGTTGAGATTCTGTGCTTTCTGAAATTATGCTAAAAGTGTCCTTACTAGCACTTGTGGCAAATTTGGCAAATAACGTTATTTGTTAATTCCTTTGGTTTGTTATACTCTACTTAAGTATGTTACATTTATCAACATTTAAACCATGAATGTGTTGAATTTACCTAAATCGTCTGCTAAATCCCAGCTTGTCATCAGCCCCACATGACAGGGCAGTGCTTCGTTTGGTTCTCTTGCAGTAAGCTGCACCTGGGTTCAAATCCCAGCCTCTTAATGCGTATAGTTTTCTTGCATGGGTACTCTAGCTTAATTGAGTAGGAGTATATGGGTGCAATGTTATGAATAATTAAGGAGTATTTTAGTTTATTTTTTTTGTTTTCCTAGTTAAATTAATTAAATATGTAGCAGGAGAAAATTCCTTTCCTCTCTCTATCCCCCAGAATGATGTGTGGTTCCGTATCGGAGCTCTGGGAAAACATGAAACACTATTGGATGTATTTTCTATTATATTTATCAGGTGTCTCTGAAACATAATTGCTATGATTTTTATGGACCACACCTTTCCGGGATCCTCATGTAGATTAAAAGATATTCTAGCAAATAAAACAATTAACGATACAAAGCAATAAACACAATACAAACTTCTTACCGAGTCATATTTCAATTTGCTAAATTGATTAACTTTGTTGCTTTTTACGAAAGTGAAATCTATATCTCTGAACTGAATTTCTATTTATATATGTTTAGATTTTAACATTTATTAAACATTTTGGGCCGGATTTATCAAGATCCAATTTTGCGTGCAGTAATTTGCGCTCGCAAACTGGAATTTTGCGCGAGGGGCTGAACCATGGTTTGCGGGTGATTTAACAAGAGTGATTGCGTAACTGGTGGCAGGTGCAAAACTGTTGGAGACGCCTTATTTAAATGATGGTTTTGCGCGTTTTGTGGTTTGCTGCGCGTACGCATACCCGCAGCATTTGGCATGTTGCTCCACAGGCGCAGGGGGAGAACCCCGACCCCGTCGGACAGCACTTCTGAAAAAAAGAGATTGGGAGATCCCAGCTCTCGCTGCAACCGTACGCTGGAATGACTCAGATGCAAAAAAGTGCCATGTTGCAAGGAGTTTTGTGATATCTGGTATTGCGTGGGTCCTCCTTGTGGCTGGCTCCAAATCCATTCTCAGTTCCCCCAACAGCTCCAAAATGGCAATGCAGGATAAACGATATGTTTTAAAGATCGTTTCCTCCATTGCAAAAATATTCACACGGAGTGAAAAAATGCGTTCTCTGCGTCTCCTTGCTTCATTTCGATGTCTCCTTCTTGCGACAATAACCGCTGCCATGTGTGCGCAATTACGCATACAGACCATTTGCACCTTCTTTTGAAACGTGTTAAATATAGAGTCAGATACCGTTAGCAAAATTGCTTTCAGGTTTAATAAATCACTTTGCGAGTGCTAAATTAATATATTTACATGTTCTCCTCCCACAAGACGCACTTTTGCGTGTAAACGCCCCATATTGCATATTCATTGCAGAAAAAGTACTAAATGGATAAGAGGCGCTATTTAGCACGTTTTAAATGCTAAATCCTTTTAGCACGCTGTTGATAGATCAGTTTGTACATTTTTTAGCGTGCGCAGTGAAATAGCTCACGTTTTTATACACGCAAACCTTTGATAGATCCGGCCCTTTATCAATATATATCTCTGTTAGGTTTGTCACACAAATATTTTTAGCACTATACCTTTGGTTGATTTATCCTAGATTAGTATAAGCCTATGAACCCTCACATGCCCTGTTGAAAAATGACTGAAGCAACAGAACAATAGATTAGCAGACTTCCGTCCAAGTCTAGTTTTGCAGTTTGCAAAATATATTTTCTTTGAAATGCATAAATATACTTTTGATTGATCAAATCAAATTGGTTGACTGTTTCTTAGAAAGCATACATTAACAATATAAATAGATTTATCAGTGGATTCTTAGTTTTTTTTCAACAGATAGTTTTAATAATTGTTTTAGACAAACCTTACAATCTTAAATGTAGGACCGTGGCCCTAATTAAGTTTTTTTGTGTGTCTGAGACAATTTGATTGTAGATCTGCAGAGAAACTGAAGTGATGCATTTAATTCATCCTTTTTACTTCCTCTTCCAATTTTCCTTTCAATTATTTTCCTGCTTTCTCTGTTCGTAAAAAAAAAAAAAAAAAAAAAAAAAAATTCCACTCAGTATATTGTTTGCTATATTTAAATGAGTGGTTAGCAATAAAGTTAAAAACTTACTTCTGTTCGATAGAGAATTTAGAATAAACCAATTTGCAGATGATACCTGCATCTTTTTAAAAGATATTAGATAAAGCCCTCAGTACTACAGGTCCTTCTCAAAATATTAACATATTGTGATAAAGTTCATTATTTTCCATGATGTAATGATAAAACCTGAATATTCATATATTTTAGATTCATTGCCCACTAACTGAAATATTTCAGGTCTTTTATTGTCTTAATGTTGGAATACAGCTAATAAAACCCCCAAATTCCTATCTCACAAAATTAGCATATCATCAAAAAGGTCTCTAAAAGAGCTATGCACCAAATCATCTGAATCAACAAATTAACTCTAGACACCTGCAAAAGATTCCTGAGGCATTTAAAACTCCCAGCCTGGTTCATCACTCAAAACCACAATCATGGGTAAGACTGCCGACCTGACTGCTGTCCAGAAGGCCATCATTGACACCCTCAAGCAAAAGGGTATGACACAGAAAGATATTTCTGAATGAATAGGCTGTTTCCAGAGTGCTTTATCAAGGCACCTCAGTGGGAAGGAAAAAGTGTGGCAGAAAACGCTGCACAACTAGAAGAGATGACCTGACCCTGAGGAAGATTGTGGAGAAGGGTCGATTCTAGACCTTGGGGGACCTGCGAAAGCAGTGGAATGAGTCTGGAGGAGAAACATCCAGAGCCACCGTGCACACGGGGCATTACTGAGTCAGAGCCTCTGAAGTAAGATACCTAGGGCTGACAATATCCAACAAATTAATTAGAAGAGAAGATACAAATATTTCAAATCGTGTTTTGGACATGAAGAAAGTCCTTAGTTAACCAGAGACCTTATAATATTTGGCAGAACTATTCTATCCAAAACTGAAGGTATCTCCAAATTATTTATCCCTGACACTCCTTGTTTATTTCCTCTAAGACATGAATAAAGCAAACACAATGATCTTCCAATTTTTATGGAGGAATAAAACGCATCACATCAAAAAATCTCAGTTGGTGAAAGAATATGATAAAAGGTGGTTCTATAGCTCCAGATATTGAATCAATGGTTTACGCCTTCCGATAAAATCTTATATTTTACACACGAATTGTATATGGTATTACATTCCAAGATCCCTGTGTGATAAATAAGGAGGTTTAGACTTTATCCTAAAATGCTATTTTGAGGTAAGCAGGATTCCAATTAAGCTGTCCAACTTCCACAAGCAGATTTTGCACTATTGGAAAATGATTTTCACCCACAGCTTTTCTCCCCATAACTCAACTCTATGGAACAGTAGAGGAATAACACATAATTGTAAATCTATCTTCAAAAAGGAATGGTTCAACAAAGACATTGTTTATGTTACAGATTTATTGGACAATAACAGCGATATTTGTAAATCATTCAGATAAAAAAAAAAGTAAATTCTTCTCTAAGAGAGTTTAACAAACTTTGTAAATCGATTCCACTGCCTTTGATTTACTTGGTCAAACATTCTAGATTATATAAAAATTTCCCACCAATATTGCCCAGCTTATTGATTGCTCAATGCAATCTGTTTGATAAAAATTGCAATAATAATTTAATTAGCAGTCTTTTGAATTCCAGAAAATTGCATGACTATGATAGACCTACTTGAAAGAGATATTCCTTTTAGTTCAAATACAGATGATAAAGCATTCTCAACTTGTTAAATGGCCTATTCTAACTTAAGTCAAAGAAACACACTTTTAAATTATAAACTAAATTATTATAAACTAAATTTATTACAAGATTTGGTTATGAGGTGGATAAACGTTCCTTTTTTAATGGTAGCAGTGGAACCCTTGAACATCTGTTTTACCTCTGTCCTACTACACATTGCTTCTGGAAAGAGATGAAAGATGGATTTCTTTGAAAATAATTGATGTTCCCCCATTTGCCCTAAATTATGTCATTTTTTAATATGGACCATCTTCCCTTGCCCTTTTCTGATGCTATTAAAATCATCCTTCTATTGGGTAAATATCATATTCGCTGTGCTAAATGGAGAAATGCTAAACCCTTCTTTCATTGGTTTATCAATTATTTAAAAACATTTTTTTTTCATCTCTTAAAAAGCTAAAAATTAAAAAAATAAAAATATGCCAAAAAACTGAGTTTTGAATTCTCCCAACATCTGCTTTTCTAATTGCATCCATTTTTTGTTTATTTGTTTTTCATAATTCTATGGCTCTTTCTATCTTTTATTTAAATAAAATCTTATTAATAAATAAATATAATCTTATAAATGAAATAAATAAAATCCTAAATCTTAACATAAATCCCCTACTATTTGTAATACTTTGTACTTCTCAATTGATCTCCATCTTTTCACATACATTTTTACTATCCTCTCTGATTAGTTTTTTATTTATTTATTTTTTTTTACTTACTTCCGGTGCAACCTTGTTTTCTCTCCGATGCATAGCGATATTCAGTTCCGGCTAACTATCCAACATGGCGGCTGAGGGAGACGTTGATTTGGACCTCGAAGCCGAGGAAAACTGTACCGGGAAGCCGGTTGAAAAGCCACGGAAACATGACAGTGGAGCCGCTGATTTGGAGAGGGTCACGGACTATGCGGAGGAGAAAGAGATCTCAAGTTCGGATTTGGAAACGGTGAGAACAGTGGGACTAACAGAATGGCCGCCCCGGAAGCACGCGGCTGCTCAGTGCTGCTAACCTGCAGAAGTGCTACAAAATCCTGGAGACTGATTGTTTTGCGTTTTTCTTGGCAAAACCGTTAAATGAGCTAGACCTTTTCGTCATACATTTTTTTGATGTGTGTGTGTGTGTGTATGTGTGTATATATGAATGTGTATGTATGTGTATATATGAATGTGTATGTATGTGTATACATGAATGTGTATGTATGTGTATACATGAATGTGTATGTATGTGTATACATGAATGTGTATGTATGTGTATACATGAATGTGTATGTATGTGTATACATGAATGTGTATGTATGTGTATACATGAATGTGTACGTGTGTATATGTATGTGTATACATGAATGTGTACGTGTGTATATGTATGTGTATACATGAATGTGTACGTGTGTGTATATGTATACATGAATGTGTACGTGTGTGTATATGTATGTGTATACATGAGTGTGTACGTGTGTGTATGTGTATACATGAATGTGTACGTGTGTGTATATGTATGTGTATACATGAATGTGTACGTGTGTGTATGTGTATACATGAATGTGTACGTGTGTGTATATGTATACAGGTAACAAAGTTAATTTAAAACAATATACACAAAGGAGTAAAAGAAGTATTAGCTATAAATAAACCAGTTTAGCTAGATTACGTCAAAAATACATGTTTTGTTACATTGGTTGGGCACTTTAATCTAAAATGTATATCTTTGTATATAAAACTCATACTTCTGTTATTGCAGAGTGGTTTTAAGTTGTATTGTAAAAAAACACTGAAATCAAACTGGTTCCCTTTTAGGCAATGTCTGTGATCGGAGACAGAAGATCCAGAGAACAGAAAGCCAAACAGGAAAGGTAAGTTTAGTGCCAACAAATCCAATTTAAATCATTTTCCTGCATAGTTAGAGGGCCATGTATCCTGAAGTTAGTCTGAATAAATATATATATATATAAGCAAGAAATTAATTCTTTTTGTTTTCAGGGAAAAAGAGTTGGCGAAAGTTACCATCAAGAAGGAGGATGTTGAGCTGATTGTAAGTAGACAAGGTTTCTTTTCCCAATTAAGAGCATCACATTTCAGATGCTCAGAATGTTGGTTTAAAAGACACCACATGAAAGGGTTTTCAATTAATTATAAAAAGGCTAAACAATCTTATGTTTTTTTTATAGTTGGAACATGCTTTGATACAATGTTTCGGAACCATAGCATTATGAAATCTTTGTCACCCGTATCCAGCTGTGGTCTAGATTTGAGTGGTGCCACTTTGCTTTGAACTCATAGTTCAACAACCACTTGTCTGCCCTTACAGTATAACTTGCTCTGAAATATCAACTGTCTTTACAGATAGATTGTATAAACTGGACCAATGGGGTGCTGCTTTGGTTAAATCAACCTATTGGTTCAAACATGCTGTTATCACCTTGGTTTGGGTAAAAAGCGTCTGACGTGCCCCTCTAGCGGTTAATCTTTTCCTCTGCTGCTTTGGCAGCAACAGGGGGCATTACTGAGTCAGAGCCTCAAACTGAGGATACTCAAACCCCCAGGGCTCTATTTTTCAGCACAAGTATCATGATTTAAAAGAACTGTGGACCTTAAGATCCGTTTAGCAAGATCTTTAGAGGGTTTAGTTTGAGTCACATTTAAAACGGTAAAAAAAAATTTAATCTAGACATTAAACTGGTATATCTTTTGTTGTGCAGATGTCAGAAATGGAGATTTCGCGGTCTGTGGCGGAGCGCAGCCTGAGGGAACACATGGGAAACGTGGTGGAAGCTCTGGTTGCTCTGACTAACTGAACAGACCTTTACACACTGGACTGTTTCCCCATTTGGAATTCATCTAATTAGACAAAGTTTACTGTGGTGGTAGAGCTAACCCAAGGTTTTTTTATTTTTAAATAAAGTTCATTCTTCACTTATGTAAAAAAAATGAGTGTCTTTAATTCAAATGGTTATAACACCTTTATTGACATGGAAAAAAAAAAATCAGCAAAAGGTTATTTACAACATTGTAGAAATCTTCCACATATCCAGGTTCATCATCTTAACTTAGGACAAATCAGTACATGTGCTGATTTTATTTCACTAAAAGTCTGAAGAAAGGACTGAACCATGTTATCAGCGTGATGCAGCGTACTCTCCAGAAGCGTTATAAGAATGGCCTTAAGTCTTCCTCTTCTTCACTGTAGGGCGATCGAACACATCCCTCACCCCTGCTGCCTTCTGCTTGAAGAACTTGTTATTCTGAGCACTCTCCTGAGCCCAGGCGGAGTCAAACGAGGTAGTGTCCTGGTCCACCAGGTGGGTGTACTTGGTGCGTCCCGACCGACCAAAGTTTTTGACCTGGTAAGAGTGTAAATGGTCAAAACACTGAGCTGTAATAACCTGGATGACAACTTCCTGCCATGTTAAAATGAAACATGTAGTACAAAGGGAAGCACCTCACCTGCATAACTTTTGGTAAGATGGTTTTGTTGAAGTGATCCTCCAGAGTAGGAGCACTAAAATCTCTCTTGTAAACATCCTCTTCCTCATCCTGGATGAACAAAACAAATGTTAATGGAGCTATCGGCAGATCAATACCTGATGTGTCTACAGTGTCACATAGTGGACAAACCATGCAACACTAACTCTAGAGGGCTGTTTTACTTGTTGAGAAGTTGGTATTTGAGCTTTTTATGCCATGTGACATCACTGTCAAGGTGAAGGCATTCCATTTTACAATGTTTAGACCCTTGTAATCTACTATAACAATAAGAAAAGCACTTCCATGCTGTATTCTATGCATGGATAACACAAACATACAGTGCAATAACCACAAGTAGTACCTGAATGATTGCTAATGCTAAAATATCTACAAGCAGCAAAAAAAAGCAAAGTTCATCTACTCTTGAAGGGTATAGCAACCAACTTAAATTGAGCACCCTTCTGTTGCACATAATTTGAGTTATTTCTAGTTAAATTACAAAGCTAATGTTAAAAATCTTGATTTAAAAAACAAAATTATATATATATATATAGCCTTTGTAAAGGGAGTATGAATTAAAGTCACAAATTTAACAATTGGCATATGACATTTCCCTTGTTCTGGGAAAACATTTAAATGAATTGTGGATTTACTGAAGAGGAGGTGTTCTACTCAAATTTGAGCTGAACCACTATCCATATTTCTCTGCTGTCCTTCGTGCTTAACTGCACCAGAAACCTTTAAGTTGCAGTAGGGATTCCTGAGAAAGTCCTGGTTATACTCCTGCAGTAGTGTGTCGCAGTGAGCTTGTCCTAGATATTTTATGCTTCTCACACACCACACTCTTCTGGTCCATCTTCATGATTTGTTTTCCGCAATGGTGGGGCATACAAAAAAAAACAAGCTGGTAAGGTACCAAACAGGAAATAAGCTTAAAGTAGATCGGATTTAGATTTGACCAATTAGAGCCCTCCTGTCTGTGGTCACCTACATTTTGGTGCTTGGCATGAGGGACACCTCTGATAAAAATTTCATTAAAATCCGCCCACAACTTCTAAAGTTATCCTGTACACAGATACAAACACACAAACTCCTAAAAACATAACTTTCTTGGCTGAGGTAAAAAAATGTGTCTTGACTCACCATGAAGAAAGCTCCTCTGTGGTAGTACTTCTGGAGAAACTTGTATTTGCCTTTTTGGGCTTTGTTGGTGACGACTTTCCCGCTGTTTCGGAGCTCGGCCCTGCGCTCCTCCTCTGTCAGGCTGTGGAATCTCTCGATTTCTGACTTCTCCTTCTCCATCCTAAAGACAAGCAATACAAGCAACCACACATTTTAATCAAAGCTGGGTTTGTCTTACTCTCAAAATCCAAACTTTTACAATATTAGACTTTTACTCACGTTTCTCTGGCTTCTCTGTCTCTCTTAATGCGTTTCAGCTCTCTGACCTTCCAGGCTTCGTACTCCTCCTCCTCCTCATTTTCCCCATCTGTATCCAGGGCTTCCAGAGCGGCCAGTGTCCGCCGATTCTCCTCAAACTCCTTCTTAGCCTCCTCCTCAACGATTTTCAGGGTATAACGACGACGCTCCTCCGCCTGCTTTTTAGCCTCAGCCTCCAGTTCTCTCTGCTTCTGCTCCTCAGCTTCTCGCTCAGCAACAGTGATTCTGTCCTTCCTGTAAACAAACAACAGTTTGTTAATGAATTTGTCATAACTTTTAAAGCTAGGCAAAATGTTCCCTGATAATCATCCATGTAGACCAGAGTCCAATTAGCATTAGCTGAACTGGCAACCAAGGCTAGATGAGTGCGAGTGTGCCCCTTACTGGCTGGGATGAGGTAAACTTTTTGCTAGCACCTTAAAAGCAATTTTGGAAACAGTATATTTGCTGAAAAGACTTTTTTTATCCTGGGATTTTCTGTGCCGGTTTGTGATTCAAATGAGTTACAAAAGATTTTAAGTAACCTTTTTGGGAAACGTTGTAGAAACTATGAATTTGCGAGCTGCTTACTTATTCCCGTGTTAGATGATTGATGGATGTTTAAAAAATATTTCCAGTTTTTTTTCTCAATATCTTACTTGCGAATGAAGACGGGTTTGAGTCGCGGTTCTGCTTCATCTTCGCTGTCTGTGTATTCCTCATATTCTGACTCGGATTCAGACTCCGCCCCTGACTTGCCCTCCTCCTCCACCTCCATCACCTCCATTTCCTCGTTCTTCCGTTCCAGCGCCCGCTGACGCATCATCGCTCGTCTACGTTCAATTTCCTGTGCAGGGCGATGATTAAAGCAATAAGAATGTGTTCAAAATAAAAGGGAATTAAAAACACTGCGGTGTTTTCATAATTACAACCTCGTCATCCACTTCTTCCTCCTCCTCTTCATCCTCGCTGCTCTCTTCTCGCTCAGGATGCCACGTTCCCTCATCAGAGTCTTCGCTGCTCTCAACGACGACTTCAGGCTCAACAATCTGTCGATGCCTCGCTAACCTGAGAAGTCAGAAAAACATTATAGCTCCGAAAGATTTTCCAAAGATTTGAGTGAAGCTAAGGAACAGAGTAATACCTCTCCTCCACGTCCTCAGAAGTGCGGTTGAGCAAACGTCTGAGACGCGGGTCTGAGACGTCCTCTTCCTGTGGCTCCACCTCCGGCTCTACTTCCGCTGCCTTTTTCACAAACTTGAATTCCTCTTCTTCCTCATCTGAAGACTCCATGGGGGCGTAGTCTGGACGTTTACCGGACACATATCTCTTCACCTTCACCTTCTCCATCGAGAGCTCACCTGCAGTCGGCACACATGAACAACATTGTTTGAAATTGACTCAGTTTTAAAACATGGGAACAGAGATTCATGCAGCAAAATCTGAAAAGGCAGAATTTGGAGATCAACAGTAAACTAGACTCAAGATGCCAAAGACTTCCGGCCCTTTAGAAACTTCAGGATAATTTTTGACCTCCGTTGTAAAGGTATAACTACTTATTACGTTCACTAGCTTTTGTATTGCATCTACAGAACATGATAAATTATAAAACATAATTAAGAGACAATTTGAGGCTTTCCATCACATGTGCTGATTAAGTGAAGAAATATGTCAACTCCTACATCATTACAACTCCAAACTTAACAGTCAACTGTTTCAGCAGTAATAAAGGCTTATTAGATTAGGTATTTAAATCAGGTCCTACAAAATGCATGAAAAAAAAAAAGACAGGACCAAGTTTAAGACTGAAACAATCCTAAATTAAACTCATATTCAAGTTATTTAATAAATACGTTATAATCCAATTTTAAGGTTTTTTAGGTTATTGCTTGGCAACATCTTCTAACACTTTTAAACCTAACTTTGCAGTAGCAATAAACAACAGATTTTAGCAAAAAACCTGAATGTTAAATAGTTTTATAGAATGATGAAGAGGCACATAGTAAATCTATTAATTTTTATTACTCAAAAAAGACCTCTTATTTCAGAGAATAAAAAAAAAAAAACTTTGAGTCATGTTTGAACTGATACAGCTTGGTCTGTGTTCTACTCACCCAATTTTAAGTGTTAGCTTTCAAATAATTTATTTCACATGTAATGTGGGCTTACAGTTCCTAAGTTATTTGCTTTTCCATTTGGGTATGCAAAATAGCTGAGGATTACCTAAAATGAGGTGGCTATTAGGAGGTTAAAGCAGAAGTAAAACGTTATTCCTGGAGTGAAAATTGAAAACTTCCAACTGCTCATAAGGCCCCAAAAAGTGCTTCAACATGTTGTTTCTCTTTGAAGCTTCAAACACTGGGATGTGTGTCTGAACTGAAGGTGACTAGGGCCTTCTCTAAAGAAGTCCAAGGAAAACTTTAGTTTTCTTAAAAGAAGAATTAAAAACTATTTTAGACTATTTAAATATACTGATGTTTAATGTTATTAGTTAAATCTGTAGGACAATTTGTCAATCTGTGTTTTTATGAAGGGATTTAAAATCAACGATTTTATTAAATGGTCAAGTCTAAAACATTAAGATGTTGAGTTCCTCTCAATGTTAGTCACAGAGACAGTTTTCAATGAGAGGATTTTACAATGGGCATAAAAAATACAGCACAGACCAACTACCAGTTTAACTTTTGTTTAGATAAATAACAGAAAAGCTGAAACTATAACTCAGATATTAACTGTGTACATCTATCGCAAAAGTAAAAAAAAAAAAAAAAAAAAAAAAGGACAGAAACCATAAAGCCAACCTTTGAAGGAATTTATTAAACCTTAAAGCAGGTAGAGCAAACATTGAGAACAATCACAGATTTAAGGCTATGGAAACTGAGCCCAAGTATAAAAATAAGGATGCATTAAATTATTCTAAAGCCTCAGATTAAGAATAAAGTTTAAAAAGTTTAAAACTTTAAGAAACCTGACGATGTTACTCTTATGCAAAATGTATCATAATGTGTTAATTAAACCCGGTCCCAACTCTGTTAATTGTTTACTCCGTGGTTCTTCGCCATCTGCGATGTCAACTGATGTTGGCTAATGTAGCTATTTAGCTCCCAACAAAGCTTACCTTTTTCGTTCCGTATCGGAACGGCACCGGCCGTAGATTGAATCGGCGGAAGCTTCATGTTTGCGGCGTCGTGACTAGACATGATTGCCTGGTCAACGATATACGAGTCGATAAAAGAAAAAGAAAAACGTTATTTCACTCTGTAGCTCGTTGTAGCTGCAACGAAACGGAAGTTCGACTAAATGCGTGAACGGACCGGAAGTGAAGTCGTTCCGATAACCGTTTCCGCCTCTTCTTTCTTCTTCTTCTTTTTTTTTTAATGGCGGTTGGCAAACAACTTATAGGTGCATTACCGCCACCTTCCAGAATGGAGTATGGATCAGACAAACTATTATATTCTCCCTAAAATACCCGTTCTTCTTAGAAAATTAAAAATACTCCCAAAAACTACATCCCCAGATGACCTTTGAAACAATTCCCTTATATCTAGTTTACTTTTATTCCTGTCTAACTCTCTACACAACATTTCTCTTTCCTGAGTATATTTATTACATTCTAAAAATATGTGTTGGACAGTTTCTAATTTCCCACAAATACAACACCCTGTATTATGCTTATTCATTATTTTAAGAGTACTATTTAATCCTGTATGTCCAAACCTTATTCTAGATATAACATCTTCTTCTTTTTTTATTCTATTACATTTTATTAATTCTCCAACCTTTTTTTGAATACTATAATAAAATCTAGCATTCCCTCCTTTATCCCACTGTTCTTGCCATTTCTTCTTGAAATACATTTTTATAATATTCTTTAACTCATTTTTACTAATGTTAATGTTTAAATCAATATCCTTTTTTACAGCACTCTTAGCAAAACTGTCAGCTAACTCATTACCGATAACACAAATATGAGCAGGAATCCAGACAAATTTAACAACAGAACCACCATTTTTAATCCTAAAAATTGAGTGAAGAATATCCAATATAATATCTTGTCTCGACTCTGAATTAAATTCTAGAATACTTATTAATGCACTACTTGAATCTGAACAAATTAAAACCTCCCTGTCTTTTGTTTCCTCAATCCATTCTAAAGCCATTAAGATAGCCATTAATTCACCCGTATACACTGCCAATTTATCTGTTATTCTTTTATTCCTCATAATATTTAAATCTGGGATTACAAATGCTATACCTACTTTTTCATTTAATGTTTTAGAAGCATCTGTATAAATTTGTATACACTCTGAATATTCTTTTTTAATATAATTTTCCACCTCTTTTTTATCTAACTGTCTCCCTTTTCTCAATTAATTTAAATCAACATCAGCCTGTCCAAAGATCCATGATGGAATAGCAGGAATAACAACCACAGGACTGATTACAAAGTTATCTATTCCTACATTTTTTACTTTATTCATAATTGTCCATCCAAAACTATTAATTTTTTTCTTCTTTTTCTTGACATGGTTGCAGTGTAACATACGGAGGATGATTTTCTTTAGATCCTTTAATATTTACCCAGTAATTTATGGCTAGTTGTTCTCTCCTGAGCTCCAGTGGCATCTCACCCATCTCCACTTGTAGAGCGGAAACCGGGGTAGTTTTCATTGCTCCACAACAAAGTCTTAATGCCTGATATTGTATTCTATCTATTTTCTTTAATAAAGTACTTGAAGCTGAATTGTATACTATACAACCATAATCTAAAATTGATCTAATTAGTCCATTATATACTGTTTTTAATGCTTTTCTATCTGCTCCCCAATCTTTTCCTCTCAGACATCTCATTATATTTAAAATTCTTTTACTTTTTTCAACTATTTTATCAATATGTATCTTCCATGTAAGTTTTTTATCAAACCAGATGCCCAAATACTTAATTTGATCTATCCTTTCTATAACATCCCCATATAATTTGAGATATACATTATTGTTTAATTTCCTATTTGTAAAAGCAACACATTTAGACTTAGATGTTGAGAATCTAAAACCCCAATCTAAAGCCCAAGCTTCTACATTCTGCAATGCTTCTTGTAGTTTTCTATTTACAAACTCTATATTTTTCCCCCTCTTCCAAATAATACCATCATCTGCAAACAATGAGACACCAAAGGATTTATCTATACTACTAAAAATATCATTAATCATTATACTAAATAGAATAGGACTTACTATACTACCTTGGGGAGTGCCATTTTCAACTTGATATTTTGAACTTATTACCCCACCTATTTTTACTCTAATACTTCTTTCAGTTAAAAAACTTTTTATCCATCTATATATTTTACCTCTTATACCTATTCGTTTTATTTTAATCAATAGCCCTTCTTTCCATAACATATCATAAGCCTTTTCCACATCAAGAAATACTGCTAACACACTCTCCTTATTTACCTGAGCCCGTCTAATTTCATGTTCCAGACATAATGCAGGATCTATTGTACTTCTGCCTTTTATAAATCCAAATTGATAAGATTTAATCTTTTCTTTAGATTCTAAAAAATAAATTAATCTGTTATTTACCATTTTTTCCATGACTTTACCCATACATGATGTTAGAGCTATTGGCCGGTAACTTTCAGCTAAATTAGGATCTTTACCAGGTTTGCAAATTGGTATAATGATGGCTTCTTTCCATATATCAGGTAATATCCCTTCCTCCCACACCTTATTATATATTTCTAATAATATTTCTTTACTCACATCACTAAGATTATTTAACATACTATAACTAATTTGATCTTTCCCAGGAGTAGATTTACTAGAATTCTTCAATGCTTTAATTCTAACAAGGAAAACTTCATATTAATAGAATCCTCACAATCTTCTTCATCATTGACCAATGCAATATTTCTCTTTAATGTCATTTCACGCCCTCTTTTTTCTTTATTATTTACATTTTCTGTTGTTTCCGCCTCTAAGAAGCTGGTGGAACTTTTAATCGACTTTTTATGGCATTGCTTTTTTGTGTCGTCGTTATAGTTTATATTTGTGTTTTCGTACATCTATTAATTTTAGAGAAATAAATCCTGAGTTAAACTGTTAAAAAAGTAAAGATGATTGGTTCATTTAGGATAAACTGGCTAAAGACCTTTTTGACTCATTCCAATTCAATGTGGTTTCATATCCCTAAATCTACATTTAATACGCTTGGTGGCTTGGATTTCTTGCTTAAATGTGATTTTGAATTAAGCAAGATTAAAATTTCACTGTCTAATTTTCATAATTTTTTTTTTTACATTTTTGGAAGAAATTATATTTACTCACAACTTCACCTGTCATGGATCCGTAGTGTGGAATAAAAGATCAATATTAATAAATAGAAAATCTAAAAAGAGACTGGTATTTTAATTTTTTTTTTTGGTAACTGACTTAATGGACAGTCACAGTGTTTTCCTAAATCATAGAGATTTTACCAAAAAATTTGATCTGTTCTGTACTTGTAATTAGGGCTGGGTGTTTTCGCCAAAGTCTAATTAATACGATTATATGATGAATATGATTGATTAATACAGTTTTAAATCGATTAATTTTGATTCGATCTGTTTTTACAATATTGAAAGTGGTTCAACTGTGTTTCAAAATGCTCATATATTTATTTTTTTTTCCTGTCACATTAAACACAATGTGCAAACTTGTGTATCAGACAGTTAAAAATTAGATGTGAACAAAACTGATCATAAGTGCAAACTTGTTTGTGAAAAGTAAAAAAGTGAAACCTCACTCGAGGAAGCAGCAGTGACACAGCGGGGACACAGCAGACATGCATGAGCTGCATTATCTTTGCTGCACAAACCACATTTGCAGTGTTGTCTGTAACAACTACAGGGGGTTTGCTGGTCAGCCCCCATTTGTTAATGTCTTCAGTCACCCTATTGGGTATATTTGCAGCTGTCTGGCTTGAAGTAATATTGAGTGCACCTTTCCTACTCATTTGAATGTGAACGTCACGGCGTCACTATAAAACTAATCGATCTCATTCCCTAGATATCGATTTTGCAAAAATGTAAAGGAATCGATTCAAAATCGATTAAATCAATTTTTTTACCTAGCCCTACTTGTCATGAATACCTAAAAGTATGCAAAGCTATTCCTGTAGCTCTGATCCATCTCATCCAAAACACCTTAAGATACTCAAATGTTACTCCATATTTACCTAAATTGAAAATTGGAGAATATTTTGTGACTGATGTAATAATGTAATGCTTGTTACTGCCTTCAACAACTAATTTGCCTTTATTTGAGAAGGCATTCTCTAAGTTTGTTAAATGGCCGGTTTCACCAAAGGTTAAAGAGACACACTTTAAAATCTCTCACAATATTTACCCAGTGGCTGAATTTTTGCAAAAAAGATTTCAGTTTCACTGAACATGCTGTTCCTTTTGTGAATCTCTGGATGAATCCCTTAATCATCTCTTTTTTTCCCCTGTCCTTTTTCTTTTAAAAGTATGGAGAGACATTAAAAATTGGTTTTCCCTTTAAAATTGAGGACATCCAAGAAACAACAATCACCCACATGTTGTATTATGTTGAGGACCTTGATAGTAACATTTCAGATATGGTTAATATTGCTTTCTTGCTTGTCAAACATCACATACATTGCTGTAAATGGAGAGATTCTACTCAATGTTTTGAATTTTTTCTTAACCAATTTAACCTGTATTACACCTCATTGAAACATTTGACATCTGTTTCTGCCAAAAAAGTAACTGCCAATATTTATACTTTTCTTATGTTTTAAATCTTGCTCAATATTTATGTATTGGCCTTATTGTTTATCTGTTCTTGTTTTTAGCCCCATGTTCTTTTTTTTTCTCTATCCATGTAATATTTGTACCTCAATGAGTCTTTGTACACTATTGGTTTGTTATATAAATAAAGTAAAAATTAAAAAAATATATATATAAACTTTTTTGTTGAGAAAAACAGACATGAACTTCAAGGGCCTTGAGCTTAATCCATCTATAAATAAATGGTAGAAACAGCAACAGATCAATGTATGACAAGGATGCATCATGCAGAGCTGATATTTTAGGTGCTTTATGAAAGTGTTTGAACCTGACAGGTGAAAAAAAAGGATAACTGGTTTGCTTTAATGAAAAAAAAATGAAAGTCTAGAATTCAGAAAATCAGAAGACAAAGGTTCACAGTACTGATCGAGCACATTATTCTATTCATGGTTCATGAATATCCATTGACGAAACCCTGATCTGGACATTTACAGAGAAAAAGCAGCAGCTTTTTTACATCCATTTAAATTTGACTTAAAAAGATGGCCGATTAGTGTAATTGGTTAGGGTGTTTTACAGTTGAGTGCCATAACATCTTTGCCCCATTGAATAGAATTTTACTGTCCTTTATACCAAAAAATTATGATTTTTTGTGGCTGGATGGTTAATCTCAAAATAAATGGCCAGAAAGGGTGATGAAAGAAAAAAGCTAAAAAAAAAAAGGTTGGAATAAACTTAATGAGTTCCATCATTATTATATTCAGCAGTATTACTGTAGTAATATGTGATCCTAATAGGCAGTGTATGTATGAGACACAGTGCTTCCAAAATATTAAAAACAAGATTTATTTTCATGGCTTATTAAAACAGTATCAGATGTGACGTAAACAGTCTGTTCTCAGTGAGGAGAGGCTATTCTCTTAGAGTTGAACCCCTCTCTGTTTGAACAGCATTTCCAGCTTCTCTTCCAGAGCCGAGTTAGTTCCTTTAAGACCTTTAACCACTTCAGCAGCCCAAACAAAATATTCCTGGACCCGCTCAGCTGACCAACCTGCCAAAGAGACAAGAGAAAGTTAATGTATGGAAATTCAATGAACATTTTTGTTCTCCTAAATGCAAATGTTTTTGCGTTTTAACTTCAACATAAACACAAAGGGGAACTTTGTCTGGCAGCATAAACTGTGCTGTAATTTATGTTAACATTTCGCAAACCACTCAATGGGTTGATCCATTTTAGTATTTTATTTGGATATCAGGTAATAGACCAAATATATCGTAGATCAATTTAAAATATACCTTGCTTTAACAAACGTCTTAGAAACTAAACTCTAAATAGTGTGGTGTTCGTCGACTGTCTCTACAAGCTTCCCACATCTTTTTGTGAAGAGTTAGGTAAAGACATTCTTTCTCATTTAAAACTGAAAGAACTTTTGTTTTGGATAAATTGGTAGAGAATTAGGATACTTTATAATACACTAAAAAAATAAGGGCTTAAAAGGCTCGAAAATACATTCAATCATGTTTTATTCTACATTTGAGTCTAGTCAAATAAAAAAAAAAGACATATTTAGAGTTTGTTTCTTTTATAATACTTTCTAAAAAAATTTAAAAACACTGTACAGTACAATACTCTTTCCAAAGGAGTTAAAAACAATCCACTGGACTCATTTTCAAGTGTGAAGACATTTCGCTTCCCAACCAGCAAGCTTTTTCAATTCACAATATCAGAAATAGCGTTGAGTTTGAGGCTTTATAGAGTCGACCAAAAATTAAGCCTTGTTTTGGATTAGAAAACATCCAAATTGAAGCGGAAGAGCGAGTCTGCTCCTTAGGAATGGGCAGTCATTTTGGTTCTTTGCTAGCCTGCAATACCTGATACCCGTCTCTGAAATGGGGGGGTGGCTAGAGGGAATTGTTGGCCTGGCTGAACAGGCGAGGTGTTCTGTTCCCCTGTATGGGTGTGGGGGTTGAGATGATACCCCCACCCCATTCCAGCAAGAATACTCTATTTGTTTTATTTTCCTATCTATTATTTTTCTTTTCTAAGGTGCACATTGTGTGACCACTTCTACTATAACCTTTGCTGCTGCAATTGCAGAACAATTGCCCCATTGTGGGACAACAAAGGGATTTTCTATTCTATGACATTCTTCAATTACCCTTAAAGAGTTTATCTATTTAATTCTTACGCAATATTTTATTAACTTCACTATAATAAAACACAATAAATAATTCAACACATTAAAACTTTATCTTTAGAGTGCAAAGTGCTGACCAACAGGCGTAGAGGTGTTTAGGTCTCTCAGGTTGTACAGCTTGTCAGCTAGCTTCACAAGTTTAGCCTGTCGACTGCAGTGAGGTGCATGCTCCACTTGCAGACGCTTCCTCTCCTGCTTCGGCAGACTTTTGTCATCGGTCACCTCTTCGACAACACGAGCTACTATCGGCCCAAATTTGGCCTCCAGCTCCTCCAGGGTGGTGTCTGTGTCCTCTACAGTGTCATGCAGCAAAGCCGCCTGCATGAGAAATAAGAAAAAAGGCCCAGCAATGCAGGAAGACTGAATGCTTCAAGGAGATGACACACCAGAACTTACTTGCAAAACCTCCACGTCTGTGACTCCTCCTTCATAGCTGAGTATCCGTGCAACACCTTAGAAGAAAAAAATAATTTCACTAGAGATGTTCCAGTTCTCAGGTTACGAGAAAATATTAGTAAAACATAAAACTCCTTAAGGACACAGCTGGTGGACATCATCACTGCAAAAATCAATTCCCCCAGCTTATAAAAACTTTCCCCACCTTAAAAAAGAAATCATTGCGCAGCATATTAGGAAAAAAAATAAATAATAAAACAGCTTGTATGACATTTGAGGCTCATTAAATTCAATTTAGCTTTTTCAAATACCATTTAAGCAACTATATTTGATGCTTTACATCTTTTATTTTTTTAGCATGTGTGTGTAATTATTACTTTAACACGCTATGGAATTAGTCCTTAAATATGAGTTAAAGGTCACTGGCGATGTATTTTTATTTGTTGACTGCTTTAGGTAGCCTATGTTATTGCTTTCATTTTAATTTATATTAAACAGGTAAATTTTCACTTTTGGTTTAAGTCGACCACAAAAGAAAAATGAATGGAATAATTATTATAATAATGCTCCTACCCACCAATTGGATGATTAATGTACGGCGTCCCCTGTGGGTCTTTACGTCGTTGATTTCGATGTTTTTCTGCAGCAAAATTCACAGTTTCTAACAACAAGGACGCGTCTGAATTCATAACTAAACTTAAACAGGTCCGGGGTTCTCAGGCGATAGAGGTCCGTTCTATAATGTTCCGGAGGGAAACAATAACTAACATTAAGCTTTCCGCCCTGTTAGCTACGGAAGTTGATAACTGCTCCACTCTGATCATATCTGCGGCTTTTTAAATGAAATTATTTTTTTTCCCCGTTGCCTTCTTAATTAATTCATATGATATTGCTTAATATCTGAATTAGCATTTGTTACGCTTGTATTTGTCTTGTGACTCCTGCTGACAGATCTGTTTTTATCCAACAAGCTAACCTGGGAGGGATTTCTTTCTGTCAGTAGCCTCTCAGTACAAACTCCTTATAATTCTGCACTGGAACACTTAATAGGTAATATACACATATATCAATTTGGGTTCAACTGACTTTCCTTAACTTTCCCACTGTTGTTGTTTTAGCCTGGAATGGCTCACGGTGGCAGGAAAGATTCCCCGGAGCTCCCAGACCTCTCCCTGCTGAAGAGGCTGGTCAGAGATCAGCTCATCTACCTACTGGAACAGGTGGGTTCCACACAATACTGCACTTGTGACAGAGTTTGAGAAATTAATGTATCCTGACCGCGTTTATGAGTCTGTTTCCCCTGTATCTGTATAACATTTAGCATTTTCTTTCTTTCTCGGAATTGAATTGGGTCCATAATTAAAAATATATTTTCTACAATTCACTGCTTTAATTTATTCCTGCTGTGCTCATATTGTTAACATATTCAAAGTATTATTCATTGGCTTTTTGTTCCCACCCTCAGATTGCTGTCACTATCCTGGCCTGGTAGATCACGTGATAATTTTTTGGCAGAATTGTTTGATTTAATTTTAAGTGGTTTGTTTTTGCTTCAAAGCCAGGTCTGTGCAACTAACTGTCATTGTTCTTGAGAGTCTGTGCCATTCAAGAAGCTTAATGCTGACCTGCTTTAGTCCTTCCAAACCATTCAGGATCATTCTACTTCTCGATAACATTTCTTTAACCAGGTTTCAACTATCCAGCTTTGGGATGTTTAACTGGTTCCATAAGGGGATGTGTGGCTGCAGGTTTTCTCTCCAACCAAGCAATAGCACACCAGACTGCAGTCATCTCATCAAGTGAGTTCAGTATCAACATGATGACTTGATGATTAACTGGCATCTGGTGCTGTTGCTTGGTTGGAAAGAAAACCTGCAGCCACACAACCCCATCTGGAAACAGCTTGACATTCCTAATCCATCTCAGTCTTTGAAATAAAGTTAAAATAATTTAGAGGTTGTCCTCCATCTATATAGTTCATTCCAAATTATACAATACACCAGTATCAATGGATTCTAAGTAGCCCCACGGCATATGAGTGATACCCCTTTGATTGACAGTACAGCTGTCCTGGGTGTGAAGTTGTCTCATTGAAAGAGCTCTTCATTGTCCAGTTTGCTTGATTTTACATCAAGTGGAATTTATCACTAGTGCTCCATCTAGATTATTTTTTTGAGGTGCAGCAATAATTCAGCTAAACAGGCCCACTGTGTACTGATACCATACTTGACAATTAGGTTGGAAAGACTTACCTCCTCCAAACATACAACATACCATTGTCAGTAAACAGTGCCATCTTTGATTCATCAATGTGGATTTGCTTTAAATTTCATTTGAATTTCAAGGTACTGATTTTGAAGCAGAGGCTTCTTTCTTGGTATTGGTGGGTGTTGATCTGCTTTTCTATGAACAGCTGGGGAAACTAGCCTCATTGTATCTAATGTCTTTTGTTATTAAACAGTTGCCAGGGAAGAAAGACCTTTTCATTGATTCAGACTTGATGAGTCCACTTGATCGAATTGCAAATGTTTCAATATTGAAGGTAAACCTACTTTTTTTCTTAGATAAAAACACCTAACATTCCAACACTTTTAAAACATCTAATATGTTGTATATTTTGCAGCAACATGAAGTTGACAAACTTTACAAAGTTGAGTTCAAGCCTATTATCAGCATCTCAGATCAGTGAGTTTTTCTCATCGTTATTAATGTTATTTGTTATTAATTAAGTTTTTTTTATACTTTACATACATGTTATCTGACTTCATCACAATGAGGCATCTCTCATTTTTACAGACTCTGCTTTCTGATTCGGCCACGAATACAAACTGTGAAGTGGATTTGTGGTAGGTGCAGTTTTAGGGGTTTTTCATCTTTTTTTAATGAATTTTTTATTTCCAATATAAACAGTGTGTTTCTTGGATCTGCTGATTTGTTAATTTTTGCCTTGGCTAGCTGTTACAGAATAATTATGGAGAACTTTGCTTATACATTTTACAATAAGATATAGCATTATTACCGGTAATCCCCTTTGGGAAATATTTCAGTTGATCTAACGGCACAAGAGAATAAAAGAAGACAGCTGAGATATTATTACAAGTAACAAGCTAAAACAAAAAAAAGATAAGCATTAGATATTCTAGTTTTTAGTTTATTCTAGTGATTATTATCGGTGTAAATGTCGATGCTCCTTCCTTTCAGATGTGGTCAATGCAGACAAGGCAGCAGGAAAATATAGACGATACAAAATCATCTTCACTCCACAGAAGGTACGTTGTCCTCTGCTGCACATTCCAAACCTGTGTTTGTCTGGCAAGATGTTTTATTTTTGTTTCCAGTTTTATTGGAGAAAACACCTCAACTAGCTATTTAATTTAAGTTGTGCCAGTTTAAGCTGGTTCAGTCCTATTCAAAGCAGACAGAGTCCAGTCTGTTCAAAATGAGTTTAGGTTTACGTTGGTTTACTTTAACAATGGAGTTAACGTAGTTGTAACCATCAGAAAAACCTTCCTGCCTACAGCTATCAACACCTTCAACAACTGGTTAAAAAATACTATAAGTTACTGCAGCATTTAATTTCCCTTCAAGATTATAAAATATTTTGGGATTGAATTGAATGTTCTGAAAATACTCAAATAATATTCATATTTTATCTAGTCAAGTTTATTATTACTTAAATCCCAATTTGTCTGAATTGTTTCCATGTTAATGTTGGCTTTGTCTGAAAATCCACCCTTACCACTATATAAAGCACTATGTAGGAGTTATGCCATTTTATATTTCTTGTCCGAATATCTAGCGGATGAAAAATTAGTGGACTCAAAATTTCCCACAATGCACCTTGAAAAGGAGTGTACATCCATGGTCACTAGACAAAGAGATATATCCAGAATGCTTTGCAAGAACTCTCCTGAAGAAAGAGAAAAGTAGTACTATAAAATCCACAATATAGTGTCCGTTCTATACAGTGACTGAGGGGATAGGGCAGACATTCTGACGATTCCATAGTGATATCCACCCCGATTCCTCAGTACCATCCATTCATAAACTGCCTGTATCAATTAACTGTTAATAAACCTATAAGCTGGTTTCAGTGGTTACTAATATAGAGCAAATCATTTCACATAATATGCATTTCTGAATAATGCTGTTATGACCCACTTCAAACTATTTTCCTCTAAGTGGTGTTTGCACGATGTTTAAAACCATCTAAGACAGTTGTTTACAATAATCTGTTTTTCTCCCTTCTAAAATGATCCAGTAACAAAGAATTCCAGTTACACGCTAAAACAACCCAGTTCATTCTCAGCACCCTTCCTTAAAAATAGGCTCTTAAATCTTAACTGGACTTGCCCAGTTAAATAAGAAAAAAAGTACCTACAACTACTAACTATCACATTGCAATGTAATCAAATGCAATTCAAAGAGACCTTAGTTCTGTTTGAATTGCATTTATAATCTAGTTCAAAAGAATATGTAGTAGAATGCTCAATTTATGATCTAACTCAGTCCAATTTATTCCCACTCCCATGGATTAACACTCTAGGTCCCAAAGTTAATTACGTTGCTGGGGGAAAAAAATAAATCTATTTCAATCTTAAATACAGAAAACAGCATAAAAATCCATTTAAAATTATAGTCTACTCAATCTCCTTCCTTTTAAACCTGCGGTAAACCAGTTCTATCCAGTTCAGTGCAAATAGTCTCTCTTTGGAAACATGGATAAAGTTGTACTATCTAGTTAGCTCCAGTTTGTTTTAAGAAAGGGTCAAATTTTAATTTAAACCTATACCCTGTTGAGCACATTTAAGTAGAGTCAAAATCAAACTTGTAGGATCCAGTTTAATGTGCTTAATTTAATTTAAAACATGTTCACTAAAGTTCTATTAAGTTAAATAAAGAAATTGAAATTTTGACATTTTCAGATGTACATATTTTAATATTAGTCATTTGGTATTTCATCTACTTCAGTCCTTAGTTCCCTACATTGTTTTATTGTTTATAATGTTTAATTGTTTTGTTTGTTTCATGACCAACTTCTTATTTTTTATATGTGGTAAATGAATTGGTTTATATTGACTTTAACTTAAAGAAGTCCAGAGCAGTGAACTAAGTTATATTAACCTTACAAACATACTCTGATATATAAAATATTCTATATGGTCATGTTTGTTATTACTTAAATCCCAGTTTGTCTAAAATATTTCAGCTTTGATATGCCAATATTAACCCTCTGTGTCTGTTCTTCCTGTTTAGTTTTATGCATGTGAGGCTGTGCTGGAGGAACAAGGAATCTATGGAGGTCAGTTTTTCTCCCTGTTGCTGTTATTCACGGTTAATCAACAGTGAAAAGTGATGGAGAACTGAAACTGTGTCTGTCCCACTGCAGATGTGACTACTGACGAGTGGGCTTTCTATCTCCTTCCTTTGGATGATGATATCATCAGTCTGGAGCTTCCTGAGTTTTTTAGAGACCAGTTTCTGGTAAATTTTGAGTTTTTAAGAGAGCTCAGACACTTGCTCAGACAGATTGTTTTAAAGTGATTCACAGTTTTTATAAAGATAGTATTGACTCTATATGCAAGGTTTGTGCACACTCTGCAAGACTATGGCGTTTGATTTCATTATTCATTTATATTCATGAAATATATATAAATAAAACAAAAGACAGTTAAGAACTTCGTATTTAGTCCATGGAACAGACACCCTCTCTACTTTTAAGGGTAGGCTTAAAACTTTCCTTTTTGATAAAGTTT